GACCCAACCTAAAAAATCCAGGACAGTCATCTCTGCTTGATGCTCTATTGACAAATGCCCCTCACAATTTCACACTGACTGGTGTTCTGGTTAATAACCTTAGTGTTCTGAAACAACTGTCCTACCTCAAAGGGCCCTCCTCTACCGGAGCAAATAGTATTCCCGTCTTTGCTCTACTGTTGGTCACCTAATATACATACCTATAGCCCATATTTTCAACCTGTCCATCAAAGAAGCATCAGTTCCTCTAGAATGGGAACATTCCTATGTCCATCCACTTCACAAAGGGGGCCCTAAAGATGATCCAAATAACTACCGACCTATCTCAATTTTGTCCCCGTTGATGAAAATTTTTGAAAAATTATTGACCTACCAAATTAGCAGTTTCCTGTCCACCAACAATCTACTACATCTAAAACAATCTGGGTTCCAAAAAAATACAGCACCACATCTGCTGCATTAGACTCTCTGAATCACATTTACAGTAGCCTTGATAATAAGCAGTACTGTGCCTGTCTTTTTCTAGACCAAAGCTTTTGATACAGTAGACCACAACACCCTGCTTAGTAAACTAAGTTGCCTCGGTTTTTCCGAGAATGTAGTAAAATGGTTACAAAGTTACCTCTTTTCTCACACCCAAACTGTAGTCACAGATGGTTGGAGGTCAAACAGTGTTAAGATAAAAGCGGTTCCACAGGGTTCCATCCTCGGCCCCCTTTTGTTCTCTATGTCAATGACTTGGGCACTGACCTGGATCATTCCAGGGTAAATCTTTTTGCAGATGACACGATGCTGATTATTGCTGACCGCTCTCCCTGGAAGACGTGATTGCTAAGCTCCAGGGTGATTTCAACAAACTACAACATCAGCTAGTTGCTCTTAAACTAGTCCTGAATACCTCCAAAACCAAGGTGCTATGCTTCTCACCAGGACTAAAGCAGGAAGTTATTTTTCACCAATTACATTCCTTAAATAATTATCAAATAGAGCAAGTCAAGATCTATAAGTATCTTGGGGTCATCCTGGATTTAAAACTGAATTTTGAAGATCACATTGATTATTTTGGTTAAAAGACAAAAATAAAAATTGGTTTTCTGTATCGACACAAGTGTAGAGGTGTGACGGGAGGGGGGACACGCGGTTGTAGGGCAGTGGTTACAACCACGTCCGCTACGGACCACCCTGGGGGGCTGTGGGGGATGCTGGGATCCCTCCCGATCCCCACCCCTGAGTGAGGAACGGTATAAAAGGTGGGACACGGGGTGCTGCAAGGCAGTTCGACTCAAGCAAGATGAAGTACCAGTGAAGAGAGAAGACCGACTAGCTAGGCCCTGGAGCTCCCTTGATCCGCTGTCCTTTTGAGGGCTGGGCAAGGCAAGCCAGGGTGCGACACCAGAGCCGCGAGGACCGATGTCCTTCTAAGGGCCGGACTCCTGTGGCTGGTGGTCGGGACCTGAGCCTTGGCTGGGCCAGGTCAGGCAGCCTCCGTTAAAGCCCTTAGCGGAGGACCTGGGAGCGTAGGTGGATAGGCAGATAGCCTAGGGGTATACCGCAGAATAGTACGGGTGAAGGGGCCGTTACCCCTTCAAGTATTTTGCGTTGCCCTGTGCTGAGTTATAATAAATACGTGTTGCCTCTAAGAACAGTCTCCGACGTCGTTAAGCCACTACACAAGCACTGCTTCCCCCCAATGTTCCGTTTGGAATTGATAAAAGCTACCATACTGCCTCTACTTGACTACTGTGACATCGTGTATAAATCAGCCCCAAGTACTGTACTGAAGAAGCTTGATTCCATCTATCACTCAGCCTTAAGATTTACATTGAGCTGCCCATATAGGACTCACCACTGTGATCTCTACATTGGGTCAAACTTAACATCTCTTAATGTTCGACGGCTTGTGCACCAGATGTTATTTATTCACGATGTACTTACAAAAAAATCCGCAGACTACCTGCTGGATCTCCTCTCTATTTCAAAGAACAAATTTGACCTCAGGTCTTCGCTCATTTACCAGCTTCACATTCCCTATTGCCGTACAAAAACTGGAGGAAGGGCCTTTGCTATTGATGCCCCCAGGGTCTGGAATGCTATTGCCAATAAACTGCAACTTGAATCGCTACCAATGAGATCTTCTCTCAAAACTGCTCTAGAGGAGTTGTGCACCCCGAGCTGCCACTGCTATTCATTGGCGTAAAAAAAATGTTTCGCTCCGGATGACGCTGCAAAGTATTATCTGTATTTTGATTTAGCGTGCTGATCTTAAAGGTGCATTGAAAATTTTGATACTCCGATTGATGCTTCTGTTGTTGTGGAGTAACTCATGCAGCCAGCTATGGCTCTAGGATTTGGTGTTACATGTTATTTATGTAGTTTATTGTAAAAATTCGGTCAGTCCCTGTGATCTCTCTTACGTTGCAATTATGGCTATATTTTTTGGTGATTTCTGAAAGTTTTTTGGTTTGGACATGTTTGTATTGTTGTAGTACGGAGTTAGACTGATGGCCTTAATCTAAGTTTTCTTGTGGTTGTTGTTGTTTGACTTGCATCCCACTGGGATTTTTTGCACACAGCTTTGGTGTACGGTGCTTTTTTCAGGAATATTTTGCTGTTGTTTTTCCATGGATTTTCTGTTTGCACAGTCACATAGTCACTTTAAGATGTTTTTCTTGTTCGTGTTTTTTGTTTGTTTGTTGTGGTTGCACCCGATTCAAGAGCCGAATGGCTCACAGGGCTATACCAAAATAAATAAACTAAACTAAAACTAACTAAAAACTCATGCCTTCAGGCGCAGAGTATTTTAATTCGGCCAGCGGAATCCTAGCTCAGGATTTTCGGGCAGGTTCAGCAATCCCATGGTGGCATTCCAAGCTCGTCTTAGCTCTCCTCGCTTTGACCTGTTTCACCTCGTGAACGTCAGAGTTAGTGGTCCACCATGAAATGTGGATTGTGGAATCAGGCCAGATTCATACAAACACGGCCACAGTTCAGCCAAAAATAGGGGAAATAATGGCCCAAACCACGATGATTTGAACCCATGATCTCTTTATTGAGAGATCTGCTGTCATATCAACTGCTCAATGATTGTACTGCAGCCTAAAACTTACAATTATAACCTATTCATTAAATTTCTTGCAGCCTGATGTGAATCCAACAATCAACAGTATGAATAAGTTGGATATTATGAATATTTTATACAGTTATCTTTGTTTTTATAGTCATAAGGACCGTGCGTATGTGTATAACATGGCATGTATTGATTTATTGAATCTTACTGTCTTGCAATTAAAGTGAGAAGTGACAATAATTTGGTTCATTGGGCGGTTATCTTATCACCTCCACCCCCAGATCCACTGATTATATAATCCGGTGCACCACACAAGCCTCAGCAAATAACGTAATCAGCGCGAGTTTAGTGAAGGTGAACCTCTTTATCCTTGGCTTCACGCCAGGCTCCTGCCACAACTCTCCGTGACGGCTGCCTCTGCCTTGCCTGATTTATTGTGGCAGGCCATCAAAAAAATACTACACCGAGTTTGTTTCTGAGAAATATATGGCGCTTCAGCTATTGTTGAAGAACCCAGCCATTTCATCTCCTGTGAGATAGCTGGCTCACTGTTTTAAGCCAAAGTAAGCTTTGGGTAATCCTTCTCCTTCTGCTTTTTGAAGGAACTTTTTAAAAAGTTGTCCTCCCCTTTCTTTTTTAAACCAAAAAAAGTATCTGCATTGTGTAGATAGTGCATAAACTTTGGCTTATGATGGGTTTCTGAAAGTGCATTTCCAAGCATGTTGCAACTACAGGAAACGAAAGTATGAAAATGAAATATTGTGCAGGGATTTTAGGCCTGACCCCCTGTTTCTTAAAAATGCACTCATCTAAAGGTAATCTCCGAATTTGTTCAGCTAAACTGTGCATCGTTGAGTGTTGCAGCCTCCTTTTTATGCATGGGGTTGACAAGAGATCAAAACTTGAGTTTTTTAGGGTACAGAATAGCATATGGCCCATTTGCACTCTTAAGCAGAATGATTTACAATGTGTCCTCGTTTTAACCTGTTTGAAAGTTTTGGCACAAGTGCTCGAAGTGGACACATTTTAATGCCAGCACGACAAGCGAGGAGGAATGGCTGAGGGCCGGAAACCAGAATGTTTCTCTTCCGGTCTCAACTGGTTGGAGGGGTTATTTAAGCTATGCTGATCTGACCTAGGTGAGAGACAGACCAGATAGAGTCACCAGCTGCCACTGATGTGCACAGCCAGGAATGATGCACAAAGACAAATGAGGCAAAGGCGATGAATGCCAATTAACCAAAGAGAGCATACCGTGAACACTTGACAGGACCCTCTTGAAAAAGAGCATTGTGATTTGCTGAGACCTCCTTGGTAAACAAGCATAATAATAACATGGTGAAGTGCTGTTATCAAGCTCATGCTGAAGTTTGGCATGACACACAGAGTGCTGATTTAGCAACCAACACACCTGGCCACGTTTGTTTACACTCATACGACGTTCAGGCAACACAAAGGAGTCCAAGTGAAGGCTCAGTTCACTGGATTGTGTAACACGTGGGCCACTGCACCACATTAACATATTGTTGGGACAAGTGCTGCTAGCAAGCATCGATGAAGGCCAGCACAGCACATGAGAGGTTGGGAAGCTTCACTATGCCCTACCACCTGAGTCGGCCTAAGGGAGGTCCAGGACTGGTTCAGATGTTTGCCACACTACTGTTGGCCGTGAGCAGGTATCGAACTTGGGTGACTGGGTTCATTGCACAGTGCATTAACCACAATGCCAACGCGCCCCATCTACACAAGACAAAGACACACGAACGGTCGCACTCAAGAGCGGGCAATTTTCATTATCAGCCTCTCGCACAGTCTCGCTTAAAAAATGTTCTTGTAATTGGATGGCAACCCTGTGCATACGCAGTTCTGCGAATTTAGGTGAAAACATGAGTGATTAATCACACTTGCTGTGCAATACAAATGCATTTTGCAGGGTGTCCACCCCAGGATTGTCAGGGAGCAGCAGTGCCTGTGCATTGGAGCTGTCCGTCGATGGCATTGCAGTGTATCAGACAAGAGAAGTGAGGTCACTTGTGCATCCTAAGGTCAGTGCATGTTATAATCGTTTCCCATGTAAACATCTCTGCCTTCCCGCTCACAGTCCCTACGCGAGTAGGGCAGTGAGCCCTCGTTTTTCCCCTTCCCTCAACTCATGAGTTTCTGTCCACAGATTTTCTGTGCCCTCTTCCCTTGTTACGTTTTGTGCTCTGTAATGAGCTCTTATGGAATAAAAAAAGACAATGATTAAAAAAACATTGTTTCCTATGGAATATTCCATTCCTTATTTTTTTTAAATGCTGTAGTATGAAATAAACCTTGCATTGAATATTTGTTTTTAAGTTTCATTCCAAATTTCTGCGTGATGTATGTATGTAGCACTTATTGCGCACTGTACGTAGCCAACCGTGATATGAAACAAATAAAATGCCTATTCAGAACTCTTGCAGAGCAGTGCATTGCACAGCATTTTGAAAAATAAAAGCTCACGGAAGGTGCTATCACAGAACTACTTCTGAAATACACGTAAGTGAACTCTCATTGATGCATAGAGGCACTGCTATTTCCCGTGCACCCCGCTCTAGAGATGTTTGCCCCATGGCAGTCAAATAAAAATCACATTCAATATGAAGGGTTTTTTTTATGCTGACATTGGTGATTTGGCTGAGACCAACATCTGACCACACTTGAGAACCCAATTTAACCGAGATCTCCGTGATGCGGGCTGAGAAACTCTGATCCCTCAATCTCCCAGCCACCCCTGAACAGAAATATTACTTCATGATGTATTCACACTGGTAATGCAGAAGCCCTGTCTGAAAAAATTGCGTGCGCTCGTAAGTCGCATCTGCTTTGTTTTGTAGTTATCACTTACAGCCTGTTATTTGGAGCATTCTCAAATTGCACTAAAATATATTAAATAAGCATGTACGTGAACAACTAAAGTTTACTTTAATAATTGGTCTCAAATTAAATTTTGATTTAAAGCTTTCGTGACTGCAGGGATTCATATTCTTGGTTCTTTTCGGTATATTTTTATTATTTTATTGTTTCCCTTCTACGTGACTTTACCGAAGGAACCAAGAATATGGTCTCAAATTGCCCGTAATGTTTCTCGTTTGTTTCCCGACTGGCATCGGTCGCTGGTGGCTGTTGCGTAACCATCCTCCGACGCGTACAGGAAAGCTTTCCAACGTGTATCTGTTTCGGGCCTTTGTACAATTCTGAATTTAGTAGGAGCCTCCTTCCTTCCTCCGACGGCCAGTAATCACCGTCGCGCGTCGATTAGTAACAGTCGAGTGTGAAGTGAAGTGTTTCTCATTGCATGTGATCACTGGGTCGTCCAACTAAAGGTTGGCACATAACTGGACGTGGGCAGTGTGGCAGCTGCAAGGCTCGTACCCCCAGGATGCTTATATATAAGCACGAACGCAGACCTAAAGTAGCACTTCTTTCCATTCGTGCGGTGCTTTTGTGCTTGTCTGACCGATGATAGTTTTTAGCACCTGCATCTCGTTTGTATCTCCCCACTTCCTCAACGTGTCTTTTGTGGTTTCCCAAAAAAAAAAGAATCGACGAGAAAATAAATTGAGAGAACATAACGAGGAAAATGATTAAAAGGCGTCGTAGTGGGCGATGGGGGCATGGAAGAAGCAAAAAGGAGGCTGATGACTGGTGACTCATAAATTGGGAGAAAGATGGAACCATACCTCGTGGTAAAGATACATTCGTAAAATTAGTTGAAGGATCTTATGCAGATCCTCTATCATTGAAATAGCATATACAGTATCCAAGGTATCAGACCGTTCTCCCCTATAAAGAGGTGAAGGTTCGAGACGACCGCTGTTGAAGGTGGACCAAGATTAAAATCACGATGCTTTTGGAAAGCTGAAGTTAATCATGAAAAGCAACATACCAATGTGTTGGAAGAGGAAAGTTTTAAATCAGTGCATATTATATACTTAGCTCTTTCGGTAAAGTCACGTTGAAGGGAAAAAATAAAATAATAAAATATATATAAAACAATAAAAATTCTCACGACGTTTCGACCATAACACAAACGGTCGTGTTATGGTCGAAACATCGTGAGAATTTTTATTGTTCTATATATATTTTATTATTTTATTGTTTCCCTTCAACGTGACTTTACCGAAAGAGCTAAGAATATGAATTACTGCAGTCACGAAAGCTTCAAATCAAAATTTAAATTCGGTGCATATTATTTGCTGCGACACGTGGATCAGAAAGATGGACACGTGTCGCAGCAAAGGCTCCAAAGTGCATCGAGAAGTGTGGAGAGAGACGTGCATTAGGATTACGCTGAGACGGAAGGGGGAACAGGCGGAGTAGAGAACGTGAGCGGGTGTAACAAAAGGGGGCCAGGTGAGGACACGTCGTTACAAGGGGACGACGGTGGATGAGTGAGACTCACTATTGAGAGCTCGACCAAAGAAGGGCATTCATCCAAGAGGACCTCCACCTTTGAGATGGAGCATTCAGATCAACTTGTGTGTAGGTGCCGGGCGGACCGTTTACGTTGTGGCACTGTGAAGGCTGGTGGCGACTTAATAAAAATCTTTATTTTGACTGGAAGAATCCGATGAGCTATGAAGCTCTTTTTCACAGATGTTTCAGTAGGGGGACAGGTCGGAAAGTTACAACAACAAACAATACAAAAACATACAGGAGTGCAAAGTATAAGAAAGATAAGCAAATCGCTAAATACAAGTAAATGAAATATATAAATACAAATTGCATGAGTCCATCGATTCCTTCCTTGATTCAGCAGTGGAAATATAACAGCAGAAAACTGATAATTGAGCCACACATATGCAATATATTGTCCTGTAAATATGTTAATTGGTTTGAGGAATTATTTTTGTTAATTAATTTGCAAATACTTTCTCATTATCCATTATTAAGAGATGTTTTTAGAGGTTTTTTGATGATCGGTGGAGAGCACCTCTGCTATGGGATTTAAATATAGGATTTTGATAATCACATCGAACTTTGTGGCAACGTTCACAAATTACATTGGTGAACCGCTGCTTAAAGAGAGAGATATGGGATTCACTAAGCACCCATTCAGGTGGGAACAATACCTGGGACACTTCATCCACTACTATGAAGTCAAAATGATTTCTCGCTCGGTGAGGCAGTGCTCATCTCCTGGTTACCACCCCGAGCTAGTGGGAGACATTCCACATTCCTATGGTGGGGGTGAGTCTATCTACAGGACAACCATTGCTGACTTGCAGACAAATTAGTAGCGATTATATTCACCCTGTAAGGATGATGGGCTAAGTCAGCCCTCAACCGGGATTTGAGTTTTGAACAATACAAAGATCCCCCGTATAGCCTCAGCAGATTTTTGGGGCAGTGCCGTTAGCGAGCGCCTATAAACGCCAGCACGGCATACGAGAGGGTGGGTGGCCAGCACAACGCCCGACCGCCTTTGTCTCCCTAGTGGCGATGTTTACACACCTTACCAGGTACTCATTTGAGCAACACATCAACACAGACAAACACACACACAAGTCCAATTGATGTTACTATTGGCGGCTGTGTCATAGCATGTTAATGTTTGTTCTTTAACCTAAATAGTTTTACTCTTGTGTCTCTGAATTAGTTATGGCTTTGAATCTAGATCCCGGGAATGGAAACTTCAGTACATAATGACTCTCTGTGTAACTGCAGGCACCTATGTCTAATTTGTGTAACAGAGGATGAATCTCAGTGTGCTCCCACCTGGCAAATAATCAGAAAAAGACTATCAAGTTTTTTTTTTATTGTACCAGGTAAGGCCATTGAGCTATATAGCTCAACAAAGCGGCTTATCACGTGGAAATGTATAGCAGCCAAATACTCTAAACGCATGTTTCCAACAAACAATTAGTTACGGCATCATTTATTTCAAGTATTTGAAATAATGTATACAGTGGTTGTTTGGGTTATAGATGTCTTGTCACATTCCAGAAGTAGTTAATAAAAAAACCCACATCCATCCCACAGTGAATTCATGAAATGTAATCATTTGGGGGTTATGATTAAATAAAAAAAACACTTTTTATGTTTTCATTTTTTTGTTACCCCCCCCCCCCCCCAAATGATATCCCGAATGTGCTATCGGCATTGTGTCATTAAAAAAAAAGTATTAATTCTTCAGATCTCTCTCAGGGCAGTCCAACCCCTTCATGTTAGAGAATGGCGCGTGAGAGCAGATACCAAAAACTATCTCTGAGATCTCGTAGCCTAAATGTGATCTCTTCACATCATTTCCACGTAATTTTAGTAAATAATTGATTGATGCATGTATTGTGAGCATAATTAACTATTTCAATTGATGAATTAAGGCGTTATTACATGTCTACTATGACATAAATACTCTATCCTCACTGCCTAAACTTATACGACACTGCTACCCACGTATGCTGAAACTAAACATAAAATATGAAGGGAAAAAATGTCGCCAATATCAGCGAGGACCTGTACTCACAAAGGGGTTTAGTTGACCAGCTGTGTCCACATTCCTGAATAGTGTGGAATCATTGTACAAAGTGGCACAAATTCATTGGAGAATTGCAGCTGTAATGATTTTAGGTAACATAATTTACGAAAAGCAAAAGGAAATTGCTTCTATATTGTTTGAGTAATGTAACCTGGAAAATGTAAAACTATGATGCCGTTCTATTAATTTCAGTTACTTTCATTTATATCAATCTACGGATCAGAGAGAGAGCTCTGCACGCAACATCAGAACAAAAATAATAAATGATAAAAAAGATATTACACCGAATCAAGGATTAACAGATAATGTTATTCAAATTTTATATTTCAGTAACATTAAATCTTGCTTGGCAGGGCTTTGATGCAAAACACTTATGTGGCCGTATAGGATGATCCAGATGTTAATATAGCATGTCTTTAATATAACATTATAAACATGACCTTTGCATGTCTTCTGTGATAAGGCTAAAACAAAAGCCATTCTATGAGACACTTTTTGATTATACATGATGACATTGTCATATCTGTCCAAAACAAATGA